GCTCACCTTACGACGGATCTTTTTCAACTTTTCTATAAAGGTTCGTTGCATCGTTGTGCGTTTACATGCAAAATTTCAGCTTTGTAGTGTTAGTTTGCGATTTTTTTTATCGTTTATTTGTTACTACTTTATTGGTTTCCCTCCATTCGAATGTGTACTGCAGTGAAGTTTTTTCTTTCTACTTGTTTGACGATTTCTTGCTACCACAGGGTACTGAATTGATAGATCTTCACCAACTTTGGATTGTAGGTTCACTAGTTCGTTACACAGATACATGCAAAGTATCACCTTTCTACTTTTCGTTTTACAGGAGTTATGGCTGGTTTTGCGTTTTTTACTATTACTTCGTCTCCTTTCGACGGATCTTCTCCAATTCTTGAATAAAGATACGTTGCATCTTTGTGCATTTAGATGTATGTTTTCAGCTTTGTAGTTTAGTTTAGCGATTTTAGTAGTCGTTTATTTGTTACTACTTTATTGGCTTCCTTGCATGCGTATGTGTAATGATGTGAAGCTTTTTGTTACAATTTCTTTCTCGATTTCTTGCTACCACAGGGTACTGAATTAATGGATCTTCACCACATTTGATATGTAGATTCATTTATTCGTTGCGCAGATACATGCAAAGTTTCACCTATCTACTCTTCGTTTAACGGGAGTAATGGCAGGTGTTTCGTTTGGAACCAGTACTTCGTCCCCTTTCGACGGATTTTCTGCTAATTTTGAACGAAGGTTCTTTGCATCGTTGCGCATTTACATGGTACTTTTCAACTTTGAAGTATTAGTTTTGCGAATTTTTGGTCGTTTTTTGTCACTACTTTATTGGCTTCACATCAAAGTGTAAAGGTACTGCAGTGAAGCTTTTGTTACTGCTATTTTTTTCGATTTCTTGCTACCAGAGGGTACTAAATTGATGGATCTTAACCAATTTGGGTTTGTTTATTCACTAGTACGTTCCACAGTATTATGCAATGTTTCACCTCTCTACTATTCGTTTTACGAGAGTTATGGCAGGTTTTGCATTTTGTACCAGTACTTCGTCCCATTTCGACGGATCTTCTCGAAATTTTTTATGAACGATCGTTGCATATTTGCGCATTTACATGTAAAATTCTAGCTGTGAGTCCTTCTTTTTGCGATTTTTCTGGTCCTTTTTTTACTACTTTTTGGCTTCCCTCAAAACGTACGTGTACTACAGTAAAACTTTTTGTTACTGCTCTGTTCTCGATTTCTTGCTACCAGAGGGCACTAAATTGATGGTTCTTCACCAAATTTGGTATGTAGGTACACTTTATTGTTGCGCAGTTACATGCAGAGTTTCACCTTCCTACTATTCCTTTAAAGGGAGTTATGGCAGGTTTTGCGTTTTGTACCAGTACTTCGTCCCATTTAAACGAATCTTTTTGAAATGTTTTATGAAATTTTTTTGCATACTTGCACATTTACTTGCAATATACTACTTTTGTATTATCATTTTTGCGATTTTTGTGGTCGTTTTTTGTTACTACTTTTTTGTAATCTTAAATATAGATCTAGGTAAAAAATCCAATAATGCTATACTCTGTGTTTTATTAAATGTATTGGTATAATCGTATTTCGGATCTTTGTATGTTTTCCAAGTTTTCTATTCATAAGTGTCGATTTCATTATTTCTGTAATGAACCTGCTTAT